GGGGGGGCACTTGCCTCCTTTCCCCGGGGGGGTGGGTACTCCCTATAATGGCCTTTATGGGGAGGCTCCGACCGAAAAGGGTACCTTTTTCATGCTTCAGGTATATGAAAGGGTAAGTTTGTTGTTGGTTCTCTTCCTTGCCGAGACGTTTTTCTCTGGGTGTTCCGGTTTTCTCCTCTCTCCAAAAACCAACCTTTCCAAATTCCAATTCGATCCGCAACGCACGGACACGTTTAAGCGGGTTCTTAACAACTTCTAAATGCTCCGTGGGAAAACAAATTACAAATTACAATTTTACTTATTTAGTTTTTAGACTGATACCTTGGTCACGTAAAAATTGACGCTGCCGTTTGACGGGGAATGTGATTTTAAATCTCCCTGATATTACCGGGAATATTTTTTTTTAAAGAGCAAATAGATAATTAAGGATAAACACTAGAGGTCTTAATAACGAAAGGCTCAATAAAGTTTCGTCCTTGAATTTGCTATGTCAAATACGCTTTATTTTTAAAAACCTGGTGAGATTACATATTTACAGATTGCAATCAAACGTCCATGTGCGACCTTCTCGGATACGCGACATGCTGTTCGAACCACTACAATTAGTTCTCCTACTCAAAGCACTACTGAAAACTGGACCACCAAATCTTTGCATTTTAGGTGGATACTTAAAGCAAGTACTACTCTTTTATACTAACATACTAACTTATGCTCAGGCATGAACATTATACAATGAAATAACCTTTAGTTTACAACTGGGCTAGTTTGGAGTCAGGACAAACCTTATTTCATAATGCAAGGTTGCAAAACTACTGCTTCTATGTTCACAAAAAGATTGGCTCTAAAATATATACAATTCTACTAAACTATAAACCTTGCAATGTTGTTTGCATTGTAATCAAAAATCTCGGCAGTTTATACATGAAAAGTATTTTTTAGTTGTAGCCTTACGGACTAATTAAGGAAGTAAGTTTTTTAAAACAATTTACCTAAAAAGACAGGGAAATTAGCTTATCCTGATGTTATTCGTGTCGCAATTACAGTTTTATCATTGTCCGAGCTACCGATGTACACTTTTACGAGGCTGGTGATTTGTGCTTTTGCCAGACATTTTAGAGATTAGAGTACTCAAGGTACCTCCTACACACAGACACACACACTTAAATAATTAAGCGGGCAAAGATGAACCGCTGGGCCAAGCAGGTCAGTTCCCTTTTAATTCTTTTAATTAATGTTTGTATGCTGCAGAGATTGACTCTTTACATTTTCCGCCAGGGACTACCTCATTGGAATTCTGCTGAAGGGCTGTTTCGTTATTCCATGGTGTATCGTTAGTGTAATACCTGCAACAGTAATGTATAAGTGACAGAAATTAGTAAAGCACATATATTCATTACAAAAGACTCAAGCTGGGGTAAGTAGTATTTAGGTTCATTTTACCTCAGCAAACCCTCACGTTCATATTGAGTGGTAGCAAATAAAAGAATATTCAATTATTTGTACCTCACATATCAGAAAAAAAGAGAAAAGAGTTAAAATCATTCTTTTTACGGTAGGGATACGGCGCTTTTTTTTCAAAAGCAAAGCTCCACATATGCATGGGTTGTAATTTAGACTGATAAGTACAGAAGTGTGGTCGAATAATTGAGGTGATTAGACTCTTCAATGTTAAAAAGCGGTTAATTGATATTATTATATAGATACTGATGAAATAGCAGGATTTTTCCTTTTACTAAAAAATCATATCTTCATCGCGCGCAGTGAAGATACTATTTTTATCTCTTCGTGTGAGGATACTGGTGTCGCCATGGTTACTAGCATGATTAGCCAATTACAAGAGAGCTTCCCGCTCAGGTTATTAAGTATTATTGTCTTTATTTCTCCATTTTAACTTTATATCCGAGTTTCATAACATTTTTGTGACAGGCATTTTGCGATACGTGATCATTTTAATTGCACTATTTTGCTGTTTCGAAAGTGAATAAAGAAAAAAGTTGTGTTTTATGTAGGAATTTCATCAGTATCTATAAAATAAACAGAACATTACATGGCCTCGCGGGGAAACGAATTTTATCGTCGCCCGCTGAAAGTATCTCTCACGAGTGAGCGAAAGTAATATCCTCAATTTTTACCTCAGTCATAGTAAAAGCTGACTTCAGGTGTAGTCAATAATGTGGTTTTTAGAGGTAAATACTGCTTTCTATTTGGTACTAGTAAAAGTACCAAATGCATCCAAGTTGATAAAACTGCAATATAAAAAGACCTGGCAGACTTCCTATGGCCCTAATTGTCACAAAAAAATTACCTTCACTTTTCTTCACCAAAGTGAAATGACACGTCATCCCCAATCAGCATGAAAGGTGCCCACTGCCTCACTTCAGGGAAACCGTTATTTCGCATCCACTTCATGGCCCGGTGAAGACATTCACTTGCACTTTCTCCTTGGACAAGGTTTTCGTAGAATCTTCTCATGAACTGCTCTGTTGCGTCGTCTTGTAAGGCCCACAATGCCACCAACACTGAGCGTGCACCCGATCCTAAGAATGCTCGAGCGATTCCAACAACGCCTTCTGTTTTGATCTGTCCACGTGCGGTATGGCAACAGCTAAGGACCACCAGTTTGGCTGAGAGTCTAACTTGTGAAATGTCAGTCATTGACAGTAAGTAGTCTGCTTCATG